ACTGTGAAAGAAGAGCCTGAAGAGAGGAGAGGGTGGGCAACTGTGTCTGGTGGGGGGGATGTTTTGAACCCAGCAGGCTCCACAGTGTCTTAATTGACTCCAGCTGTTGGTTTGGAAGGAAGCCCCCAGCCTAATGGGATGAGACCGGAGGGGCGGGGGAAGGAAACTGGATGCGGATGAGGAAAGGAAAGAATAAGGCTGACGGCAAGCCTGGCCCCTGCGCAGGAAGGACTTCGCAATGCTCCTCTGCCGGAAGAATGCAATCTCTTATCCCTTTTCAGCCTTTGCCTCTGGAAACGGATGTTGTTTCCCACCCTCCCCATGAGCCGCGGCTCCGAAAAAGATAGAGCTGAGCTGTGCTGGCCCTGGGCTTGCACAAGACACGCTGACTTTCAGCGCCCTGCTGCTGCCCCTGCCCCTGCCCCTCATCCCTGGCTTGTAGCAGCCCAACTCCCACAAACGCTCTCCCCTGGGCTCCTCCGTCCAGACCTGCCCCGGCCACCCCCACGCTCCTATCGTAGCCCCCCACGTTTGCTCTGCAAATGCACCGCAACCCCGACCAACTTCCTGCTGCGTAAAGCCGTCCCACCACAAGCTCGCTGCCCGGATCCCAAAGGGCAACGATCCACGTCCAAGAACAGAGCCGTACAGACGAGTTGTTTTGCACGCCTGGGCTGTTTTGATAACCTACAGCCCAGTTCTGCCTGGAGAGGCAGGAGGAAGGGGCTCCCAGTCCATCCGCTGCTCTTGAAGGCCTGGGGGGCCCCCACAACAGGGGGGAGGTGGAGGCTGCTCCAGGGAGCAGGGTGGAAGGGGTCTCAGCCGCAGCACGTTCGGGGAGAGTGAAGCAGGGGGCTAAATATAGGGGCAAGGAAAACGGGAAGCACAGTATTTTAGGAGAGGCCTCTCTGCATTCCCAGCACGGGGGTGGGGGCTGGATGATGGAAAGCAATGTCCGAGGTGGGGGAAACAGGCCCGCACGTTCCCCAGGGACGGCCGTGTGTTTCCTGCCAGCCTGTCCCCTGGAGATATGCGTGCAGCCTGTGTGTGGTCTTGGGATAATCATGCATTTCCTGAGTACACAAGTGTTTCCTGGGCAGGGTGTGCTGCGCTGGGCTCCCCGGGGGCAGATGTGTCTCTGGAGCTCCCCTTCTCCCTGCACTGCGAATGTCCTCTCCTGTCCTCCTCCCTTGCTCGCTCCAAGGGCCTTATGGTGAAGGGCAAGCAAAACTCGGGGGCATTCAAACCCCAAGCCTCTGGGCTTGCACATAGGATACCTGCCAAAGGTTTTGGAAACCTCTGAAGCCCCAGGTGCGGGTGGAGGATGTTAGCTGGTAGCAGGGCCACTTATGGTTCTGGACACTTGGATTTGAGAGTTAGTTTTGGCTCAGATACAAATTAAATAAATAAATAACAATTTCTTTGCCTCCATTTTTCTGAGCAGGGACCGGGTCACCCCCCCCACCGGGACCCCCTCAAGCCCCGGGGGAGGCGCACCCAGGCCCAGGGTCAGTGAGGACCGAGTCAGGGACTTCTGGAGGGACTGGGCATGTTTAAACTAGCTGGTCCTGATGATCTCCACCCCAGGGTGCCGAGGGGATTAGCAGAGGTCATTGCGGGACCCCCGGCACGGCTTTACGAGCACTCGTGGTGCTCTGGTATGGTGCCAGAGGACTGGAAAAGGGGCAATGTGGTCCCTATTTTCAAAAAAGGGAGGAAGGAGGACCCAGGAAACTATAGGCCAGTTAGTCTTACCTCAATCCTGGAGAGAATTATCCTGGCGCACGTGCACGAGGGACCGGCAGGGGAGATCATGCTTAGGGGCAACCAACATGGGTTGAGTAGGGGCAGGGCCTGTCAGACCAACCTGGTGGCCTTCTATGACCAGGTCACAAAATCCTTAGACGCAGGTGCTTTGGTGGACGTATTCTTTCTGGACTCTAGGAAGGCCTTCGACACTGTCTCTCGCCCCATTCTCATTAAAAAACTAGGGGACTGTGGTGTCGACACCTACACAGTCAAATGGGTCACTAACTGGCTGGAGGGCCGCACCCAGAGAGTGGTGCTGGATGGGTCATATTCGACCTGGAGGGCTGTGGGCAGTGGGGTCCCCCAGGGCTAGGTCATCGGACTGACACTGTTCAACATCTTCATCAGCGACTTGGGCGAGGGGGTAAAAAGCACCTTGTTCAAATTCGCAGACGACACTAAGATGTGGGGGGAAGTGGGCACACTAGATGGGAGGGACAGGCTGCAATCGGACCTGGACAGGTTACAGGGGTGGGCAGATGAGAACAGGATGGGGTTCAACACTGACAAGTGCAAAGTGCTGCACCTGGGGAGGAAGAACCAGCAGCAGACCTACAGGCTGGGGAACTCCCTTCTCGTCAGCGCAGAGGCAGAAAAGGATCCTGGAGTCATTACTGATGCCAAAATGAACATGGGCCAACAGTGTGGGGACGCGGTCAGGAAGGCCAACCACACCTTGTCGTGCACCCACAGGTGCATCTCGAGCAGGTCCCAGGAGGTGATCCTCCCCCTCTATGCAGCACTGGTCAGGCCGCAGTTGGAGG